AATCCTGAGTTCTAATTTGATTGCACTGTGGTCTGAGAGACTGTTATGATTTCCATTCTTTTGCATTTGCTGAGGAGTGATTTACTTGCAATTATGTGGCCAATAGAGTAGGTGTGATGGGTGCTGAGAAGAATGTGTAGTCTGTGGATTTGGGGTGGAGAGCTCTGTAGATGTCTATTAGGTTTGCTTGGTCCAGATCTGAGTTCAAGTCCTGAATATCCTTGTTAATTTTCTGTCTCAATGATCTAATATTGACAGTGGAGTGTTAAAGTCTCCTGCTATTATTGTGTGGGAGTCTAAGTCTCTTTGTAGGTCGTTAAGAACTTGCTTTATGTATCTGGGCGCTCCTGTATTGGGTGCATATATATTTAGGATCGTTAGCTCTTGTTGCATTAATCCTTTTACCATTATGTAATGCCCTTCTTTGTCTCTTTGGATTTTTGTTGGTTTAGAGTCTATTTTATCAGAGACTAGGATTGCAACTCCCGCTTTCTTTTGCTCTCAAATTGCTTGGTAAATCTTCCTCCATCCCTTGATTTTGAGCCTATGTGTATCCATGCATGTGAGACGGGTTTCCCAGATACAGCACACCTATGGGTTTTGACGTTATATCCAATTTGCCAGTCTGTGTCTTTTGATTGGGGCATTTAGCCCATTGACATTTAAAATTAATATTGTTATGTGTGAATTTGACCCTGCCATTTTGATGCTAGCTGGTTGTTTTGCCCATTAGTTGATGCAGTTTTTTCATCGTGTTGATACTCTTTACCATTTGGTACATTTTTGGAGTGGCTGGTACTGGTTGTTCCTTTCTATGTTTAGTGTTTCTTTCAGGAGCTCTTGTAAGGCAGGCCTGGTGGTGACAAAATCTCTCAGCAATTGCTTGCTTGTAAAGAATTTTATTTCTCCTTCATTTATGAAGCTCAGTTTGGCTGAATATGAAATTCTAGGTTGAAAGTTCTTTGCTTTAAGGATATTGAATATCAGCCCTCACTCTATTCTGGCTTGTAGGGATTCTGCCAAGAGATTCGCTGTGAGTCTGAAGGGCTTCCCTTTGTCGGTAACCTGACCTTTCTCTCTGGCTGCCTTTAGCATTTTTTCCTTCATTTCAACCCTGGTGAATCTGACAATTATGTACTTTGGGGTTGCTCTTCTTGAGGAATATCTTTGTGGTGTTTTCTGTATTTCCTGGACTTGAATATTGGCCTGCCTTGTTAGGTTAGGGAAGTTCTCCTAGATAATATCCTGAAGAGTGTTTTCCAGCTTGGATTCATTCTCTCCATCACATTCAGGTACACCCATCAAATGTAGATCAGATCTTTTCACATAATCCCATATTTCTTGGAGGTTTTGTTCATGTCTTTTCACTCTTTTTTCTCTAATCTTGTTTTCTCATTTTATTTCATTGAGTTGATCTTCAATCTCTGATANAAAGTCTATTTTATCAGAGACTAGGATTGCAACTCCTGCTTTTTTTTTGCTCTCCATTTGCTTGGTAAATCTTCCTCCATCCCTTTATTTTGAGCCTATGTGTGTCTTTGCACATGAGATAGGTTTCCTGAATACAGCATACCAATGGGTCTTGACTTTCTATCCAATTTGCCAGTCTTTGTCTTTTGATTGGGGCATTTAGTCCATTTACATTTAAGGTTAATATTGTTATGTGTGAATTTGATCCTGCCATTTTGATGCTAATTGGTTGTTTTGTCTGTTAACTGATGCAGTTTCTTCATTGTGTCAATGGTTCTTTACTATTTGGTATGTTTTTGGAGTAGCTGGTACTGGTTGTTCCTTTCCATGTTTACTGCTTAAGGAGCTCTTGTAAGGCAGGCCTGGTGGTGACAAAATCTCTCAGCAATTGCTTGTCTGTAAAGTATTTTATTTCTCCTTTGCTTATGAAGCTTAGTTTGGCTGGATATCAAATTCTGGGTTGAAAGTTCTTTTCTTTAAAGATATTGACTACTGGCCCCACTCTCTTCTGGGGTTCTGCTGAGAGATCCGCTGTGAGTTTGTGAGTCTGATAGGATTCCCTTTGTGGAAACCCGACCTTTCTCTCTGGCTCCCTTAACATTTTTCCCTTCATTTCAACCCTGGTGAATATGACAATTATGTGCCTTTGGGTTGCTCTTCTTGAAGAATATCTTTGTGGTGTTCTCTGTATTTCCTGGACTTGAATATTGGCCTGGCTTGCTAGGTTGGGGAAGTTCTCCTGGATAATATCCTGAAGAGTGTTTTCCAGATTGGATTCATTCTCCCTGTCACATTATAGTACACCTATCAAACATAGATTAGGGCTTTTCACATAATCCCATATTTCTTGGAGGCTTTGTTCATTTCTTTTCACTCTTTTTTCTCTAATCTTGTTTTCTCATTTTATTTCATTGAGTTGATCTTCAATCTCTGATATGCTTTCTTGTGCTTGGTCAATTTGGCCATTGAAATTTGCGTATGCTTTGCGAAGTTCTCATGTTGTGTTTTTCAGCTCCATCACGTCATTTATATTCTTCTCTAAGCTGTTTATTCTCGTTAGCATTTTGTCAAGCCTTTTTTCAAGGCTCTTAGTCTCTTCGTATTGAGTTAGAACATGTTCTTTTAGCTCAGAGAAGTTTGTTATTACCCACCTTCTGAAGCCTGTTTCTGTCAATTCATCAGACTCATTCTCCATCCAGCTTTGTTTCCTTGCTGGTGAGGAGTTGTGATCCCTTGGAGGAGAGGCATTCTGGTTTTGGGTGTTTTCATCCTTTTTGCGCTGGTTTCTTTCCATCTTTGTGGATTTATCTACCTGTGGTCTTTGTATTTGGTGACTTCTGGATGGGGTCTCTGAGTGGATGTCCTCTTTTTTATGATGAAGTTACTTCTTTCTGCTTTTCAGTTTTCCTTCTAACAGTCAGGCACCTCTGCTGTAGGACTGCTGGAGGTCCACTCCAGACCCTGCTTGCCTGAGGATCACTTGTGGCAGCTGCAGAACAGTAAGGGTTGCTGCCAGTTTCTTCTCCTGTTATCTTTGTCCCAGAAGGATACCCACCAGCTGTCAGCCTGAGCTCTCCTTTATGAGGTGTCTCTTTGGATATACAGGGGTCTGGGAGCTGCTTGAGGAGACAGTCTGTCCCTTTATAGGAGCTCAAGTGCTGAGCTGTGAGCTCCATTGTTCTGTTCAGAGCTGCTGTGCAAGTATGTTTAAGTCTGCTGCAGTGGAACTCAAAACTGCCTTTTTTCCCAGGTGCTCTGTCCTGGGAAGGTGGGGCTTTATTTATAAGTTCCTGATGTGCTGCTGCCTTTTTTCAGAGATGCCCTGCCCAGCAAGTAGATGGCCTAATCATAGTCTGCCAGCAGAGGCGTTGCTGAGCTGCCATGGGTTCTGCCCAGCTGCTGTGTGAACTTCCTTGTGGTTTTGTCTATATAGTTAGAACTGCCTCGGTAATGATGGTTTGCCTCAGTAATGGCGGATTGCCTTGGTAATGGCAGACTGCCTCGGAAATGGCAGACTGCCTCAGTAGTGGTGGACTGCCTTGGTAATGGTGGACACGCCCTTCCCCCTACAGAGCTGGACCACCCTGGGTCCAGCTGTGCTTGCTGTTAAAGTCTCAATCCAAAGCATTTCAGGTTGCTGGTCTTTGTGGGGGTGGGACCTGCCAAGCCAGATCACCTGGCTCCCTGTTTCAGCTCCATTTTTTTCAGTTGAATGGGTAGCTCTGTCTCCCGAGCATTCCAAGCGCCAGTTGAAACAGCCACCCAGATTTGTGTGAGTTTTTGTGTGGAGACCCGCTGCGCCAGCTGAAACAGCCATGCTGAAAACTCGGCTTGGAAACATGGCGCTTTTCAGCCTGGGAATCTCCTGGTCTGTGGGCAGTAATAACTCATTTGGAAATGTGGTGATCACTCACCCTCTTTGTTGTTCTGGCTGGAGACTGCACTCCAGAGCTGTTCCTATTTGGCCATCTTGGATCCCCTTGCTTTTTTTTTTTTTCCCCTTAAGACAGAGTCTTGCTCCGTCTCCCAGGCTGGAGTGCAGTGGTACAATCTCAGCTCATTGCAACCTCCGCCTCCTGGGTTCAAGCAATTTTCCAGCCAGGCAGGGTTACAGGTGCCCACCACCATGTCCAGCTAATTTTTGCATTTTTAGTAGAGACAGGGTTTCACCATATTGGCCAGGCTGGTTTTGAACTCCTGACCTTAGGTGATCTGCCCACCTTGGTCTCCCAAAGTGCTGGGATTACAGACATGAGCCACTGTGCCTAGCCTGATTCTCCCTCTTAATTGCCACTTCTTTCCACCTACTTCAAGCAACATTTGGCTTGTGCACAGTGCACTTCTACTTTTGTCCACTTTCAAAACTGTAGCGAGTGGGTTTTCTTTTTTAATGCTAATTTGATCATATCCGTCCTTTTTGCTCAAAATCTACTAATGGCTTCTCATTGATCATAGGGTAATGGCTAAAATATTCAATAATGCACTGAAAGCGCCACAGGATCTATTCTGACCTGGTGTATATGTCACCCGATCCATCTTGTGATGCTCTTCCTTGCCTTTCTACACTCCAGGTACTTCCTGAACTTCACCTTATTTTTAACTCCAGTGTTACAACAGCATTCATACCTGCTGTTCCCTCTGTCTGGAATGCTCACTTTCTCCTTACGCACACCCTGATCTTTCAGACTAGACCTTAACTGCCACTTTCTTGGGGTAACTTTCCCATTGTTCTTGGTCTGAGGTCAAATATCTCACACCTTCATAACAGCTTATCACAACTGAAATTTTAAAATTTTTGAAATTATTTGTTTAATGCCTATCTTTCCTGCTATAATATAATCTCAAAGAGAAAAGAAAGTAGGTCTTATTTTTGTATCCCCAAAGCCTAACATCTATCATGTCTTGCACATAGTAAAAGGTCAATAAATCTTTATCAAACTATGAATATCTTGATAAATAAATGTGTTTGAATACTGGTCAAATCATAAACAGAATTACCGGAACCAAAATTATAATATTATACAATTAACCTTAATGGTGTCAGTCATACTCTCTGACAAAAGATTTGCAAAGCTTCAATGTGTATGTACACAAGGAGAAGAAGTGAGAAGTCCAAAAGTACTTAATGACAAAAGAATAAGGTTGTGTCTTAATATATTACCTAAATTTCAAGGGAGGCACAACTATATTCAAATAAAAGTTTAGATACAAGCCCCAAGTTACACTATTAAGATAGAAAACTTGCTGGGCACACTGGTTCATGCCTGTAATCCCAGAACTTTGGGAGGCTGAGGCGGGCAGATTGCCTGAGGTCAGGAGTTGGAGACTAGCCTGGCCAACATGGTTAAACCCTGTCTCTACTAAAAATACAAAAATTAGCCAGGCGTGGTGGCAGGCACCTGTAATCCCAGCTACTCAGGAGGCTGAAGCAGGAGAATCCCCTGAACCCAGGAGGCAGAGGTGGCAGTGAGCCAAGATTGTACCACTGCCCTCCAGCATGCATGACACAGTGAGACTCCATCTCAAAAAAAGAAAGACAAAAAAGACAGAAAACTCAGATTATCTGAAAAAAAATAAAGACCACACAATCCAAAATTTTATACTTTATGTATATACAATTATTTGAAACTAGTTATAGAGATCACAGTCTCTTAACTTATAAAATGAGTAAATTTAATCTATTCGAGTAAAATCAAAGCTTAAACATTTTAAAGATCTTCACAACATTTAAAATTAATGAGAAAAAACTACAAACTCCTGAACCAAAATTTTATTTTAAATTAGGTTTTTAGTGCATATGAAAATTGTTCATAACACATGACACATAAAGATGTTGTCACATTGAACTACAATAGAAAATATTTTTATACAAATTTTGAAATTACTAATATGCTTATTTCTCCTGCGGAAAAAATGCAGTTTGTTTAAATCAACTTTGTCATGGAATATCAAGTAGGTTTAAAATTTTTATATTATTGTTTAATAACTTTTTAATAAGACTTTGAGTCTCCCCTTGATCTACACATAATATATTTTTTAATGTGTTGAATACTGTAGCAGCTTTTTCTCTCATCTCCGGTGGAACACATTTAATATCTAAATATTCATAGAGCTTAAATCTAGAATTATACAGCATGTTAATAACAGTTTCAATGTCATCAATTTTATTACTCGTTTGTCCTAGTGACAATAACTGGGATTTATACATTGTTTTTAATTTATGTTCTGCTGCTGCTGCTAGAGCAAGGCTTCGTTTTAGGTAATCTTTAGAGGCTTGAATATCTTCTCTATATTCTGGTTTGCTGGTGTCACTAAGTGCCTGTTGCACTCGTGAATTAATATCTAAAATTTTTTTCAAAATGTCATCATTATTCCAACTCTGTGGGTGTCTTCCAAATGTTGGTTCTTCAGGTTTTTCTACTGCAGTTTCACCAGAGAGCTGAGGAACATCTTCTGATTCTGTAGACATCTCAATTCCCGTGCTCCTATAAAAAGAGGTGACAGGTGATTCGCATGAGGTGAAATATGGACTTGTAGATGATTCAGTAACAACTGGCAATGTTTTTGGTGCCTTAGTTTGTCTTGCAGTTGGCTCCGGCTCTGGCTCTGGCTCTGGCTCTTCATTTTCAATATAAGGTTCCTCTGTGTGTAAAACAATGGAAACATTGTTTGGTTTGATCGACCAGAATGGGGTACTTTCCATGTGTTTTTTCCTTCCTGTTTCTGGTGTGAAGCCTCTAGTAGGGAAAGTAGTAGTTTCTTCACCCATAGGATTGATTAAACCATCATTCTCAGTTGAAGTGTCTCCATGTGTAATTATCTCCTTAAATTTTGATCCCTTCGATCTTACAGAATAAACATGTTTTGGAGAATTAGATTTTTTCTCACGACCTGGCTCCCTAGTGGGAACACTTAGTATCAGGTTCTCTAAAGCTTGTATATAATGATTCAAGTTTTGTTCTTCATCAGGTGTCATAGTTATGCCTTAAGGGAAAAAAATCAAATAAATAATAAGTAACATTTATTATTATATATGACACATTGACAGAACTACTGACCAAAATTTATTTCATATGCTATCACTTAAAAATTGAAATAAAGAACCAATAAGCAAAGCACTTTTGACACAGTTAACTTTCACTTAAATAAACAAAATTATTTCTTCAGGTTCTTATTAAAACAGTTGGGTAAGACTATTGCAAAAGTTGCATATTAACACCATTCTCTCTACATTTTTGCTTTCATTCTGATTTTATTTATGATTCAACAGGCAACTTATTAAATCCAAATTCTTGATTATGTCCTCTGACACAATGGTGTGCTGGAGTAGGCTTATACTGGTTCACTAGAGCCCATTGTTAGATTTTTTATGAATTTTGTGAGCCAGATGTTATACATAGACATTTTTAAAAATTAACTTATTTACATTTACAAATAAATTATATTAAAAACAAATGTAATAAATACCCCAAACTCATCGCTTTCTAATTATTTCACTATTTTCTCTGCTGGTGAGGTTATTTACATCTAATGTATCTGTATGATGAAAATGCAATATGATGGTGTGCTATTCTGCATCTCTACTTCCCTGCTCAGTGATGTCAACTTGACAGTTTGAAATCAACCATGGTGAGAGTATCTACGCCATGTAAATGAGCAAATGCTACAAATCAGAGTTTCCTCCCCTCTCTCAAAAGCCAGTTTTAAATATTTACCAGTGTACTACTGCCTTAAACCCAACAAAGATCTAATTAAGTAACATTTTATTGGAATCCAATTAGTCTTGTCCATTTGTTTATGTATTATCTATAGGTGCTTTTGCCTGCAACAGTAGAGTAGCCATAAGAGACCATAAGGCCTGCAAAGCTAAAAATACTATCTGACCCTTTACAGAAAAAGTTTGCCAATTCCTGGTCTAATTCATCAACATTTCACTCTTAACAACAGAATGGTAGTTCTATTTCGTGAACCACTGGCTGCACCTTCCTTCTCCTCACCCGCCCCTGCATCAAAAATATATATATATATATTCTTGACTAAAGTTTGATCAGGAAATATTTCCTGTCTTTTATTTTAAGCATCAAATTGTTTTAGTTGATTTAAAAAGAAAAAAATACAGAAAAGACCAAAAAAAGGTCAAGGGTATTGTTGGGGCATCTAATGTGGAGGGTCTTTTTTTGAGGGGTCTCCTAAAATAAAATATTTTGATAAGCAAAATTTAAAAAATGGTAGTTCTATTTATACTCCTATTTTGTAGCATCTGAGCAGTAAAGCCTCTCATTTCCAATGTGGAAAACAGAAAAGATAAGAAGATATTCTGGAATTCTGGGAGTAGTTTTATTTTAAGCATCCAATTGTTTTACTTGATTTAAAAAGGAAAACATATAGAAAAGACCAAAAGAAGGTCATGGTATTGTTAGGGCCTCTATCTAATATAGAGGGTCTTTTTTTGAGGGATCTCCTAAAATAAAATATTTTGATAAGCCAAAAAAAATCCCAGTGGTTATATTTATACTCCTACTTTGCAGCATCTGAGCAGTAAAGCCTCTCATTTCTAATGTGGAGAAATGAGAAAAGACAGTAAGATATTAAGATATTCTGGAATTCTGTTCAACTAAATGTGACTTTTAATGGTTTACTGTATTTAATGGTTTACTGTATTAAAATACTCCTGAACCAGAGTATTTTAATTTTAAGTGCCATGATGTTTTACTATGTGCAGTTTTAAGGTTTGCCATTTTCAAGTATACAAATTGATTTAACCCAGGGAAGGAAGTCACTTTTCACCAAACGCTAATGTAGTACTCCTACCTGAACCATCCCTCTGCAGGCTAAAGTAATAAACTTTCTGTTCAGGAGGCACTTTTATTTAGCTTTTTGGTAAGCATAAAGTGCTCAAAAATTACCTTGTATTTACATGTTTCTCCTCTCTTCTTTATTCTGTTACAACTTAGAAAGACCAGATAGACGTTTAATCAAAATTAAAAGCGTATTTCTAAATTTTAAAAAATTCTTAATGAGAACAGTTTAGTGAGCCAATGTGGTAGCGGAAAGATACTACACTTGTCTGGAGATCTTAATTCTAAAAGTAAATTCTATATTTTATGTAATGCTTAGAAAAGCCTTGTATACTCATAAGATCCAAATGATGATGATAGGTGATGAAGAAAGCATAGAACATAAAGTAGAGTTTGATGCTATCCTTATAATACTTTTAAAAAATCACTCACATAGTATCATATATTTTGTCTGTGAACTGCAGATTTTTTTAATGGACTGGAATGATAACAAACTAAACCCATATGGGCAGTTGCCTCTGAGGAGAGGGAGTAGGACTCCATTTGGTCAGTAGAGGTGACTTCATAATGTTTTACTCCCTAAACACACACACACACACACACACACACACACACACACACACCTCGATCATTTAATACAGTAAGCCATTAAAAGTCACTTTTACTTTTTAAGTTTCAAGTATTTTTTCTCCTTTATTTTTTAATGACAAAAATTGTATGAAAATCACATTTTAAAAAGAAAAATAACTTATTCATGTAAACTCGTATTTATAAAATGCATTGTTCAGAGTCTTCATGAAGGTAAATATTGAGTAAAATGAATATCCCTAGTGCAGTGAAAATAAAATATTTGATCCTGGTCCTGGCTCTACCAATTTATAGCAGCATGACCTTAGGTAATTATTTAACTTACCTGAACATTCACTTAACTATAAAACTAAGATACTACATTTGCCTTTTTATCTCATAGAACCAAATAAATTAAATATTTTAAAGCATTTTCAAAGCTACAGAGCACTAATATTATTCTTTATAAAGGTAACTGCTTATATTTCTCATTTTAAATATAAATTTCCTTTAAAATTATGTAGAAAAACATGGTCCCTAAAAAGAACATTAAAATATGCTTTCTATCTTATTTAATGGGAAACAGTAGAAGATTTTCCGCTAAAGACAGGAACAAGGTAAGAATACCTAATATCTTCATTACTGTTAATATTTAACATCATATTGGAGATACTAGTCAATGC